TTTTCTATTTACTCATGCTATTCTATTGGTTCTTAACCAATTAAAATCCAAGGTTTCTTATTTCCTTTCACATTTTATCCTTTAATTCTGCCTATTCTCTCTCTCTCTCTCTCTTTTTTTTTGGGGGGGGGCAGGGTCAGGTTTGAACCCACCACTTCCGGTATATGGGACTGGCGCCCTACTCTTTGAGCCACAGGTGCTGCCCAGTTCTGCCTATTCCCCTGATGGGACCTTATTCTATTTGTATCACATCTTCTTATTCTGTTCTCCATGCTTTCATTTTATGTTCCCTTCATGTTTCATTCACATGGCTCTGACTTCCATTCCACTCCTTCTCTCTTTGACTAATTTATTATCCTTCATATTTTACATTTTGTGTTTACATTGTACCACTTTTATATTTTACAATTTAACAATGCTTTTTTTCAGTGTAAAAGGTACTATTTAGTTCTTATTGAAAATCTATTTATTTTGTTTATATTCTTCCTAGAATTACTCGTATTTTTAATTGAATTTCATGTCTCCTATTTCATATGGACTAATATTATATTTCATCTGAGAATTTCCACATCCAAAATACTTAACAGCCAAAATGTTGTTTCTGCTTTCTCTTATGTTTTCTTGTTATGTTTATATGTTTGATGGTCAGTGATTATAAACTCATATTTACTTGAGATTAACCTATGGGACTGGGGACTGGTCATCTCAAAAAGTATATACTTTCCTCCAGAGAAGGTTTTTTTGGTTGTTGCTGCTATAATCCTAAGAGGGTTCATAACTGTGGTCACTGGCTTGCTATAGGAATAGACTTGCATCCAGATCCACCTTGAAGCTTCTTCTAGTAAGCTCTTAAGCTCTGGATCACATTGCTTTATCAACATTTGTCCTCAGAATAGCTTTCATTCTTATTTTTCATTACTTACCATCTAGGATTTAACTCATGAATGTATATGTATGTAGTACTTGTATCTGTATGCATGTGCATTTGATGAGGGAGGGAGAGAAAGAATATATTTGTTAGTTTTTTGAAGTTTGGACTTGATAGTTCTTGTAAATCATGTGAGCTCAGCATTCATTAAAAAGTAGTTTTTATTAAATATCCAGTTTCTTTATGTTAGGTAGACCCTATAGAAACTCTTTTTTTTTTTTTTTGTTAAATTTCAAGGTTTATTTGAAAGTACAAAGAAATCCTCCCCATTACTGTATCCGATCCCCCCACAAGATCTCTTTTTTTTTTAATTTTTTTTCTTTTTTATTGAATGGTAACTATGTACATTAATGCACTTCTGGGGTACAGTGTGGGGTTTTCACACACAATCCGAAACACTTCCATCAAACTGGTTAACATAGCCTTCATGTCATTTTCTTAGTTATTGTTTTAAAACGTTCACATTCTACTCTTAGAGTCACTTGTATCCTTGTAAGATAAACCTCAGAAGTGCCTATAGAAACTCTTAATCTTTCATGCTTATTGTAATAGATGCTTTTGCCTTAATTTTTATAGCAGTCTGAGTTTCTTCCTCCCAAGTAGTTTTTGGGCTTCGTTAGGTATACTTTATGAATAAATCATTTAATAAGAATCTGTTGAATATATTAAATGTGGTATATGTATGTATCTATGCCCTGTTTTTACATTTTCATAGTTAAAATTCATAGTACAAACGTTTACTGAATATGTTATTTCTTCCTATTTTTAAAATGAATCAGTGCTAGAGATTTTTAACCATTTTTGTAGAAGAAAGTGGTTTCCTAGTTCTCATTTATGGCTTACAGTTTCTTGCCATTATAAACATAAATTATAGTGATACTTAGAAAATGAACTATGATAATAAAATCATCGTTTTTATTCATTAAGTCAAGAGTAGTAATCATGATAGCTATCTGAGTGTTTCCTAGGTGTATTACACATTATATTAGAATAATTATTACTCCAGTTTTATAGATGAGGGAATAATTTTCCCAAGGCTACACAGGTTCTGTTAATACACATATTAATACTGTTTTATTTTCTTATCTGAAATATGAAGAGGCATGAACTAAGGAGAGTTATTAATTAAAAACACAAAATGCTGGTAATGATCACTGGGTTTCCTGCTATATCTCCTTGTGCATGTTTTGTTGCCTCAGTCCCCAAACATGTTTTACAAAATACATTGAAAATATTTTTCATTCTTCAAGATGACTACTAAATTAGGTGATTCTCTGTAGCTTCTTGTATTTCTAAACACAGGGAACCTGTGCTAAATTTGGGCCTATGCTGTTTTATATGTCTTGGACAAATTTTCGGGAATTCAGAATCATCCTAAATAAATCTTGACACAAACCATCATCCAGCTACTTGGTAACATAATACTAAACATTTACTTTAGTTTTTGCCTGCTGTTGCCTGCTTATGGGGATATTTGAGCTTAGTCTCTGATCAT